GTGAGTGTTGGAAAAGAGGTTCTAGTCTTCCTGCTGTGGCTAACTGCCTCCCTTCTCCAAGTAGTTTACTGGCCTTGGGCCTTTGTTCCCTAATTTGTAAAATGTGGTTGGGATGGTGAGCTGGGGTATTGAAATAGGTGGTTAAGTTTATTTTTCTTCTGTCTAGTGTTCAAGGGATATGACTCTGTGATTAGTTTTCTAATTTCAGTATGTCTAAATGGAATTTGGCATTGTTGTTTTTGTTTTTGTTTTACATGACATTGTCTTAGGATACTAAGAAGTTATAAAACTAAAATTTTTATTTATGTTTAAAATTTTAGGTATGCAATACCCCCGGAACATGGAAAACGACTTGAAAGACTAGCTCAAGGTAAACTTGCTTTCTATGTTTCTCATCTAGACAGATTATTTGTTTTTGAGGTATTTTTACAGTGTGGAATCTAACTTGGTTAGTTTTACTCTTTTTAAGATTTGAGTGTTTTTCTAATAGAACAATTAAATTTTTTTTCACATTACTGTGTGAATATTTTTTCCTGTTGCATAGTCTTTATGATTATTTTAGTTGGCTGCTTAGTAGTTCATCAAGTAATTGCACTTAACTATTTTGATTATTTCCAATTTTTTCTCTTTTATATAATTTTTAATACATATATACATATATATAACTTATTTAACATTGTGCTAATAATATTTTTCTCTTTTTTATTATTAAAATTAAAAAAAATGTTTATGTTAGAGAGAGATAGAGTGCAAAGTGCGAGCAAAGGAGGGGCAGAGAGACAGAGAGAGGGAGACACAGAATCTGAAGCAGGCTCCAGGCTTTGAGCTGTCAGCACAGAACCCAATGTGGGGCTTGAACTCATGAACTGTGAGATCATGACCTGAGCAAAAGTCGGATGCTCAACTGACTGAGCCACCCAGACACCCCTGTTTTTCCTTTTTTAAAGTTACACTCTTGAGATGAATTCCAAAGAGTACTGATGCTGCATATCAGGGTGCAGGTATTTTATGAGTACTTTTCATGTTGTCCTATCATTTCACCAAAGGGTTGTGTTAAATCTCTTTCTGACTCCTGATTTGGCACCCTGGGTTTGGTGTTACTCTTATGGAAGTATGAAGATGACATAAGCAGATAAGCATGAGGGTATATGCCTTCTTAGACTGTCAAGTTTTTTTTTTATGTTTATTTATTGAGAGAGAGACAGAGACAGAGACAGAGACAGAGTGCAAGCAGAGGAGGGGTAGAGAGAGAGACACACACACACAGAACCTGAAGCAGGCGCCAGGCTCTGAGCTTTCAATCACAGAGCCTGACGCGGGGCTTGAACTCACAAACTGCGACATCATGAATTGAGCTGAAGTCGGACACTCAACCAACTAAGCCACCCAGTCACCCCTTAGACTGGCAAATTTAAACATACCTTAGTGGAACTTGAATTTTTATTTTTTGTGGCTTTGTCCAACTTCATATGGGCCAGAATGAAGAACTCTATTAATGGTTTCATTGTGTACCCACTTGTATCACAGAAGGTGCTTTCCTCTTTTCTTTTCTGTGTTTAGGACAGAAAAAAACTTGCCATATCTGTTAATACAAGGGAGGAGAATCATATTCACCCACTGCCAACCTCATCTGTTTTCCTTGACCAAGGAAGAAGTAGACTGGTAGTGACTTGTTTCTAGGGGAAAGTGGAGTTCCATTTGAGTGACAACTAGCCTAAGACATTCTGCTTTTATCCAGGATCGAATCCTCAGTGACCATTGTCCTTTTAGTCAGGTGCTGATCTGTTTTATTGCTGTTTTAGGTTTGCCTTTTAGTAGGAAAGGATTTTTGTTCTTGCATTATGTATGTTTTCATTTGATAATGAAATGGGGACACTGAAAAATCCCTTTCTTTTTTTTTTTTTTTTAAATTTTTTTTTCAACGTTTTTTATTTATTTTTGGGACAGAGAGAGACAGAGCATGAATGGGCGAGGGGCAGAGAGAGAGGGAGACACAGAATCGGAAACAGGCTCCAGGCTCTGAGCCATCAGCCCAGAGCCCGACGCGGGGCTCGAACTCACGGACCGCGAGATCGTGACCTGGCTGAAGTCGGACGCTTAACCGACTGCGCCACCCAGGCGCCCCTGAAAAATCCCTTTCATTGACTTGACAGTTTTGAACAGAACTTGTTAATGATATCTAAAAGTTACTTTCCCCCCAAATTATAGGAAAGTATTAGAAGGAACAGTTACAGTATCACATTTGTCAGAAGCATTATTATAATTTTGGCAGGCTAATATATAAAGTCTTAGTGTTTTTATAATGTAATACATTGTAGTAATAATAGCAATGTAACTGAAATCTTGAACTTTGTTAGGGACTATTTTCATGAATATTAAGGTGGATGAGTCCTGGTTCTGGATAATAGATTAGACATAGCTGAGAAAATGATTATCATAATCCTTAAATACACAGGCAGTGAACTTTGTGCTAAATCTGTATGCTGAGCTATCCTCTTCCCTATAATAATTATTCCACCATTTTCTGTTTGCCTCACCACCAGAAAACTTTTAAAATGGAGCCAATGTAAACTTTACAGTATAGAGTCACACACTAAAATTTCTGCTATAAATTGTGAATGCTTTGACATAAACTGTCTGAAAATGACATTCTAGGAAAGTGGGTGCCATTTGTTTAATCAGTAAGAGGTTAATAAACTTGAAGGATGAACAAGAATTTTAAATCAATCGCATGTTTGTTCAGAACTGTTTTGCAGGATTATTTTGAGAAATGACACAGGGAAAAGACCCAATAGACAGTAGAGGAATCCCATCCACTGACCAGATGCCAGCCAAATTAATTGAATTCTGCTAAATAATTAAAATGATAAAATAATGCAGTAAATGTGATGGAACATTATAGGATGTCTAGGTCAAGGCAGCACTTGATACATAAAATGAAAAGCAGCCTGGGATATTTTCCATTATCTTGTCTGCACATCATAATTATCACACTTGCCTTTTATGCATGAATGCTTTCATCTTTGGTTTCCATTGAAATCTTGATTGACTGTGGCACCTACAAATATTTTATCTGGAAGACATTAAGCCTGCATCTAATAAAGCCAGGATTTGATTTTGCCCTTCAGCTGCTTTCTCGTTTATATAGTTTTTTCCCCAATATTATGTAGATGTAAGTATAATAAAAAAAAAACTCAAGTGAATTGTTGCAATTCTTATACTTGTTATGTTTGCCTGTAATGCCATTACATTCTTTCTAATTTTTGGTTTGATACAACTGAATGAAAGATATAAAGGAGAATAGAGATATAATGTTAAATCATGAATGACAGTTTTGAACATTTTCACTTTTTAGATCGTCAAAATCTCATCTATTTTAGAAATAAGACAATATCTTTGCTGTTCTATTGAGTTAAGCAACATATGGATTAAAATAAATTGGGAATGACTAAAAGTTTTTGTGAAGGACTGTAGTCCATTAGTTTTTTGTTGTGAATAAAATGCCAGCGTTAAAAAAAATTGAAGATGACTTACTGTGGTCAAAATATTGGTTACTGGGAAAAGAATATGTGAGTTAGGGCTTTGTGCATCTGAGTTTGGAAGTATGAATGATCAGCAGGAATCTTGTTTCCGATGACAGTGTGGTAGAAGTGAATAAATTGATTCTTATACTTACTTGTAGCAAGTATTTTAGTTGTGACTTATTAAAACAACATTTAGCAAAAAAGAACAGAAGATTCATTGTTATGAAGGATTAATTTGCTTTTTTTAATAGTTAGTTTTTAAAAATTTGGGGTTGTGTGTGTTTTAATGACTAGTAGCCTTAAATTTAAGCCTGTGGAGCAGAGAGCCTTAGCCTGATTGCAGAAGCGTCTTGTGGGTGGGATACAGGCAGTCTGTGGACTCTGAAATTATACTCAAAATTGGTCATTTATATGGATTTCTGGGAAGCCATCTTTAAATCCCTTCAGAGGGTTTGGCCTGAAGAGATTGTGAACCTGCTGTCAAGAGACTAGAAGAGCAGCAATAAATAACAAGTCATGTTAGTTTTATGAACAGATTCTAAATTGATCTGTTCTCATGCCTCTGTCTTGGAATTAGGAAAATATACTTTTATCAGATCTCCAAATCATAAATACATTATTCCCTTAAGCATTCATTTAGCTAATGATCTGAAAATATCACATTAAAATGCCTCGTTTTTAAAGACTAATAAATAAAAACACCCCTGTGTGTAAATAGTCAATTTTAAGGGACCCCCTAAGCCATAAAAAATGAAGTTCAGTGATATACTCTCTGCCTTCATGCCTAACTCATGCCTTAGGCATGGAGATCAATGTGTGGTATGTCTGGGTATGTTATTTTCATCTTTCTATCAGCTGAGTTACATTAAGAATGGTGCAACAGGCTCTAAACTTAATTTCCTCATAATTTGATGTCAGATATCACTGTCCATGTTTAATATATCTGAATATTTTATACCCAGCTATGTTCCTAGAAGGATTTTAGACATTGGGAAATGATACATAACATACACCAAGCTAGCATAATTTTAATGTAGGATGGAAGACAATTTTCTAAAAAGTGACAGCAGAGAATGGGAAGGAAGAATTCGGGAAGGGAATGTCAGCTGTCAGGGAGGAGTTAACTATGGAGGGAAATTAAGAGTACTTTGATTCTGTATGATGGAAGCTGAGCCAGGAAAATTCTGGTTAGCTTGACTATGACCTGTTTGAGCTCAAAGTACTTGGCCTGGGGAGTCCTTGATCTATGCCTGTGTGGTCCATGTGTCATGTCAAGGGGACAGAAGTGGGATCTGAAACAATGTGGTCTTAGGAATGCAATAAGAAACCATATGTAATGACCTATATACTTGTTAAGTTGGGTAGAAATTTGAACCTTAAATGTTCTGACAGCCAGCTTGAACTGGAAAAAACTTGACTATTACATAGTGTACTGTGTTCAGGAGATAAAATAAGGTGATTGTTTAGGAGACTCACCATCCTTCTCAAGACCATGATCAGCGTGAATATCTCCTGGTGCTCCTCTGGAGTGCTCCATGGAGTTCTGTCTCTACTCGTAGTGATGTTGGTGGGTCATGGGACACTTAAAGCAGAGTGAAGCCTGTTTTGATAGATTATGAGACGCTTAGAGGTGGGTGAACCTTGCAGTGTGATAATTTTCTACCTAATCCAAATTAAATGGTAGCAAGCACAGAGAGGTTAACTGTAGCTTAAACCTCTAAACTTGATATTTTAGGTAGGGATGTGGGTAAAAAGTACCAAGTTTTTCCCCACATACTGTAGCTCATTGGTTCTTTTCATTAATAAAGTTGTTAAGAAATTTCATGTGTAAATTTAATACATCTATCTAAAAGCACTTCTCACAGAAGTCAAATTAATTGAATCCTTCTGTATCCTTTTTCTGTATTCTTTTCCTTACCATTTGTTTGTATGGTTGCTATATATTTTCAAGCCTGTTAGTCATATGAATATTGCAAAAACCATTATAAAAACTCTATCAAAGCATACTTGGGTAAATTTCAATTATATTTAAATTAAATTATCTTAAAATCTGTTGCTAATGTGGGCATATATTCTACATGTCTGATTTCTTCATCTTTCCTCATTCCTTTCTTCCCTTCATCCTTTCCTTCCTGACTAATAACTAATTTAAACTTCTCCAAAGTAGTGTTCTCAAATCCATAGTAATAGTTACTAAACTTTGATTTTTAATCTTTTTCCAAGGCTCAAACTTTGGTGACTTAATAGCAACATTATGGGTTTAGTTTGTCATATGAGATTGGAATTTAGAAGGAATTTCTTTGTGGGGCGCCTGGGTGGCTCAGTCGGTTTAGCGTCTGACTTCGGTTCAGGTCATGGTCTCGCAGTCTGTGGGTTCAAGCCCTGCATCGGGCTCTGTGCTGACAGCTCAGAGCCTGGAGCCTGCTTCGGATTCTGTGTCTCCCTCTCTCTGCCCCTCCCCCGCTCATGCTCTGTCTCTCTCTCTCTGTCAAAAATAAATAAACATTAAAAAAATTAAGAAAGAAAATAAAAGGAATTCCTTTGTAACAGCCAATGTGCTAGAAAATATAAACCAATGGACAGTTTGGAGAAATTTTTATCTGAAGGAAAGAATACATTTTTAGAGTAGATCTGCTCTATCTCTAAAACAATTTAAAAACATTTAATGATTATTTTGGGAGGTCAGATTAATTGAGGTATGATGTGCTTACAGCAAAAGTGACTCCCTTTAAATATACAGTTCAGTGAGTTTTGACAAATATGTACAGTGGTGTAATTACCACCATCATCAAGATACAGATCATATCCAATTCCCTGAAAAGGTTCTGTTGTGCCATTTCCCAGTTAATCCCTCCCCACAGCCATTGGCAACCATTAATCTGATTTCTGTCCCTAAAAATAGAATTTTACAGTATGTAGACTCCTTTGTCTTCTTTCACTTAGAATAATGCTTCTCACATATGATCATTTTTCCATTGGATACTGGACATTGTATTTAATGGATGCAACCTGGTCCTTGAGAGGACTTACAGGATTCTGCACTACCCATGCTGCACAACTCCTAGCAGTATTTTGTTCGTCTTTTTTTTTTTAATTTTTAAATGTTCATTTATTTTTGAGAGAGAGAGACAGAGAACAGGTGGAGGAGTGGCAGAGAGAGAGGAAGACACAGAATCTGAAGCAGGCTCCAGGCTCTGAGCTGTCAGCACAGAGCCCGATGCAGGTCTCGAACTCACAAACTGTGAGATCATTACCTGAGCCGAAGTCAGATGCTTTACTGACTGAGCCACCCACAGTACTTTATTAGTCTTAGCAAAGGTTATTATGGGATACTTTTTGGGCTTTAGGGCTTTGTTGGGAGCTCTGGAGTACATGCTTTTTATCATACTACATTTTTATCCTCTAACATGTTTGGGCTGAAAGAATGTTCCAAGACCATCGTTGCTTGCTTACCACTGTAAAGTATCTTAAAAAACAAACAAAAATATTGTCTTTATTTTATTAAGGAATTGGCATCTGGTAGGGTCCTATCTTTGTAGATAGTATAAATGAGGTATAGATCATATAAATCAAGTTGTTTAAGCAGCCTATTATAAGTTTGTATTATTGCTCTTCCCTTCTCTTGGATGCTATAACCACAAGAGTTGATTCTTCTTGAAATATATATTTAAACTGTTTTGCTCATTGGAAACTTAGTTTGTTTTCCCAAACTATTCTTCCAGTGTTTTTTTTTTTTTTTTATACCTCGAAATCAGATACCATTTCATTGGGAGTTCATTGATTTACCTGTCACAGAAACCCTAATGTGTTACTTGTGGACAGGAGTTGGTATGGGGGAAATAAGTTGTAAAATGGTTGTCCTTACCAATATCCATAGCTTGGAGTGTGAAATAAGTGATTGTCTTCTCAGTCTGGTCTTTCTAGTTGTATAGGGTTTTTACATTAGAGCTCACCTGTGAGTGTTAATTTGGAATCCAGGCTGAATGTTGATGTTTAATTTTAAAACAATAGAGTTAGAGAACAATTGGAAGAATCTACAGGTGAATACAAAGTTAAAATTGAATCCATATGGTTTAACTCAGGTTGTGCTTGACTGTTAGAATTCCTTTTTGGGGAAGAAGTTTGTTACTTGTGACTAGAACTGTTAGGTTTAGGTCAGAAGGCCCAAGAGAATGATACAGTTTTTTTTAACCTTTTTTTTTTGACGGTTGCTTATTTGGGGTGGGGGGAGGGGGGATGAGTGGGGGAGGGGCAGGGAGAAGGGGAGATAGAGAATCCAAGCTCCACATTGTCAGTGCACAGCCTGATGCGGGACTCAAATTCACAAACTGTGAGATCATGACCTGAGCCGAAATCAAGAGTCAGATGCCCAACTGACTGAGCCACCCAGGTACCCTGGAAATGAGACAGTTTTTAAAGCTTTGTAACCATTGACTTTTCATGAAAACACCCCCAGTCAGCTCTCTAGATCCCTTGGGACTGTGATTCCCCCTTCTCAGCTAGGAGGCTGCAGAGATAGTGGAAAAGGAAGATTCGTTGAACTAACATGGTGACTAGAGTCAGTATTGTTTAAATGAGTAATAGGGATAAAAAGAATGGTTACTATTTACTGAAATTTACTGTGCCAAGTATACTAACAAGTTTTTTTCTCCCTTTTTTTCTTTTCTTTTCTTTTCTTTTCTTTTCTTTTCTTTTCTTTTCTTTTCTTTTCTTTTCTTCTCTTTTCTTTCTTTTCTCTTTTTCTTTCCTTCTCTTTCTTTCTTCTTCTTTCTTTCTTTCTTTCTTTCTTTCTTTCTTTCTTTCTTTCTTTCTTTCTTTCTTTCTTTCTTTCCTGTTTGCTGAGTATGTCTTACATACTTCATTTTTATTTTTAAATTTACATCCAAGTTAGTTAGCATGTAGTGCAATAATGATTTCAGGAGTGGATTCCAGTGATGCATCCCCTATGTATAACATCCAGTGCTCAACCCAACAAGTGTTTTCTTTAATGTCCCTTACCCATTTAGCCCATCCCCCCATCCACAACCCCTGCAGCAACCCTCAGTTTGACCTCTGTATTTAAGAGTCTCTTATGTTTTGTCCCCCTCCTTGTTTTTATATTCTTCTTGCTTCCCTTCCCTTATGTTCATCTGTTTTGTATCTTAAAGACTTCATATGAGTGAAGTCATGATATTTGTCTTTGTATGACTGACTAATTTTGCTTAATATAATACCCTCCAGTTCCATCCATGTAGTTGCAAATGGCAAGATTCATTCTTTCTGACTGCCGAGTAATATTCCGTTGTGTATATATACCACATCTTCTTTATCCATTCATCTGTCTATGGACACTTGGGCTCTTTCCATACTTGGGCTATTGTTGATAGTGATGCTATAAACATTGGGGTGCATGTGCCCCTTCGAAACAGCACACCTCTATCCCTTGGATAAATACCTAGTAGTGCAATTGCTGGGTTGTAGGTTAGTTCTATTTTTAGTTTTTTGAGGAATCTCCATACTGTTTTCCAGAGTGGCTGCACCAGTTTGCATTCCCACCAGCAGTGCAAAAAAGATTCTCTTTCTCTGCATCCTTGCCAACATCTGTTATTGCCTGAGTTGTTAATTTTAGCCATTCTGACTGGTGTGAGGTGGTATTTCATTGTGGTTTTGATTTGTATTTCCCTGATGATGAATGATGTTGAACATTTTTTTCATGTGTCTTTTAGCCATTTGGATGTCTTCTTTGGAGAAGTGTCTATTCATGTCTTTTGCCCATTTCTTCACTGGATTATTTGTTTTTAGGTATTGAGTTTGGTAAGTTCTTTATAGATTTTTGATACTAACCCTTTATCTTATATGTCATTTGCAAATATCTTCTCCCATTCCGTCAGTTGCCTTTTAGTTTTTCTTATTGTTTCCTTCGCTGTGCAGAAGCTTTTTATTTTGATGAGGTCCTAGTAGTTCATTTTTGCTTTTGTTTCCCTTGCCTCCAGGGACGTGTTGAGTAAGAAGTTGCTGCGGCCAAGATCAAAGAGGTTTTTGCCTACTTTCTCCTCGAGGATTTTGATGGCTTCCTGTCTTACATTTAGGTCTTTCATCCATTTTGAGTTTATTTTTGTGTATAGCATAAGAAAGTGGTCCAGGTTCATTTTTCTGCATGTTACTGTCCAGTTTCCCCAGCACCATTAACTGAAGAAACTGTCTTTATTCCATTGGATATTCTTTCCTGCTTTGTCAAAGATTAGTTGACCATATGTTTGTGGGTCCATTTCTGGGCTCTGTGTTCTGTTCCATTGATCTGAGTGTTTTTGTGCCAGTACCATACTGTCTTGAGGATTACAGCTTTGTAATACATCTTGAAGTCCGGGATTGTGATGCCTCCAGCTTTGGTTTCTTTTTCAGGATTGCTTTGGCTGTTCGGAATCTTTTCTGGTTCCACACAAATTTTAGGATTGTTTGTTCTAGCTCTGTGAAGAATGCTGCTGCTATTTTGATAGGGATTGCATTGACTATGTAGATTGCTTTGGGTAGTATCAACATTTTAACAATATTTGTTCTTCCAATCCATGAGCATGGACTATTTTTACTTTTTTTGTGTGTTCTTCAAGTTCTTTCATAAGC